TTTTCACAAATGTGTTTTCTAAACATATGTCTGACACGTCAACTTTTCAGATTTATTTCTTACACGTTTTCGACCTATTTTCAAACCGCTTGATTTTTAAATTTAAGTTAAATTTGATGAAAATATCATAAGAATTTCTTGATAAAATATATAAGAATTTCTTGTCTGAAAATAACTGTTTTCCACATTGACTGTCGTCAATTCGGACAGACACTACTAATACTCATACCACTCGTTGAATGATTATGAGTAATTATAGTTGACACAGTGTCTATAATTTTGTTCCCTACCTTAACTAATCTTTCGCTAATCTTCTTTTTCCTGTCTACAATATGTGAACAGTACCCAGTTCACTCGGTTTAGAGCGCCATACTTATATAACAGTATTGGACTCATGCGGAGGTCGTGAGTTCGATCCTCACGGAGGCATCATACATTTTTACATTGCACATTTTATTTGTTATTGTACATTTTAAATGGTACAAATCCTTTTAACATATTATAAAATTTTATTTTTTGTCCTTATGTTATTCAATCTAGATGTTAATCGCAAATAAATTATGTATACAATATGATGCGATATTTAAAATAATCTTTTTATAGTCCACATAGAATCGAACGTCTAAAATGTTGATATTCAACAAAGGATAAAAAAAAGAATGAAATAATGTTGAAGAAAAGAACTTTGTGTGCTCATATAACATTTCAACTAAAAAGATTTAAAACATAGTTGCCATTATCACTAATGTGAGGAGAAAATTATATGGAAAAGAAGAGGTCTATCAACTAAAGCGTATTTCTTTAGACCAGAAATTCTATTATTTCCAGTGGTATAGTCAGAGAATATGTCTTACTTCTTGAAAACATAACTTACACAGGAAAGAATTGAATAAAATATGAACTATTAATGACATTCGTTCGTTTGCATCTCCTTGTCTAGTTCTTTATGAAAAAACGTAACTTTACGTATCGTGCATATTAAAGAATGTTGGGGAAGAAAGTACGAAAAGTCTCTGGATAAGACATAATTATCAGTTTTCCGATAGCAATAAAATAATAATTTTTGAATAATAGTGAAAAATAAACAGCGAATCGAAAATGAGTGAATATAAATAAATTAGCTTACAAAATACATTGTCATCTCATAAAAGATCGATATTAACTGAGGACTAAAGCCAAGAATGAAAAAACCCGAATTTTTTTGAGGAAAAAACCCTTTTTAATTTGGTGAGAAAAACTTGAGCCCACTATTTAGGGAAATCTTGGCTACTCTAGGGATTATTTAATGGTGTCAAGGCGCATGTTTCTTAAAACAGACATGAAATGAATGAAATAAATAGCTGACTGCTTTTTCATAACCAACAGCAGCACTTAAGATAGATTTACAGATCGGCAAGATAAAGCCTATTTTACTACGCGAATCGAAAGTTACATTATGACAAGTGACCATAAGCACGAAAAAACTGATACCGATAGTTCGTACTTGGCAATTAAATTATACGTAGTTATTTTGGAATATCGGAATTTCATTAAAAAGAAGTTCATTAAAATTTTTAATGAAATTTTTGTGCCATCAAAAACTCCAGGTTACAATCACTTTGCAGCAGATATTTTAATGAAAGTTTCGGTACTTTCATTTAAAAAAACGTTTTAATGAAAGTTTTTTAATGAATGTCACCCAAACCGTTATTTTATGCTTATCTATAATGCTGACGTCGGTCGCAACTAATCACTATATTGTTGGGTACTTTTACAAGTGAAACTGGTGACAATAGTATTTGTTCATTTTTTATAATAATATCACAAATATAAATTTATTAAAAATCTATTTAGTGTTACGTTACATACAGTAAAAAGAATATATTTTCAAAAAAATATATAATTTCTCTCCTAACAATACTTCCTGTATCATAGTTCGTTGTCAATTATCATTTTTTGTCATTTATTAGAATTCTTTTCAGTACCTTGTGCAAAATGTTCTGAACTTTAAACTACAAAATTGAAAAATACTATCAAGTGTTTTACATGTACAGAATGTTCACGAACATTGTCTGTCTATTGATTGTGTTTGTAAAGGATCAGGTATTCAATCTACATATTTCATTCCTAATTTTGGAAAAGTGTAGTGAATATGTGAAAAATGTATCATTTAGAGAATTTTCTATTACACAACAGATATTGCATGACTGTTGTGTAGTATGTATTGCATTTTGTTCGAAATTTAACGTTCTTCAAAACTGATCTATTTCAAAAAAAATTCAGAAAAGAAAACTTCTTAATAATGCCGTCAAAAAATTGTATCTTCTAATGCAAAGTTTTCAAGAAATTTGTTCAGAAACTAATAGTGTAGAAGAACCAACGTTTTTCCATTAGTAGAACTCAAACAAACATCCTCAATATCAAGCTATACGTTGTTTCTTCTTAAAAATACATCATTAACAATCATTTTTAATAATGTAATCTTTCTATTAACAAGTGAAAATTTGAAGCATTCAAAACTAGAAAGAAAAAATATTATCTTTTTATCATGTACTTAGTATAGTCCACTTTGGTTTCGTTATTATAGTTTAAATACCTGAAAGTTTACAACTATTTAATTTATAGATGATGTATTTCTATGCTTCATGACTAGCTCAAGTACTGTAACATGTCGGTATAAGCCAAGAAGAGTTCAGCTCTCTAAATTTTAATTAAAAATATATATTCTGTATTTCATTCACATATACAACGACCAAGCACAAAACTGGAAAATCCAATCTGAGTTTTAGACTTTGCCTACACTTTTTTCATCTACTTTTTTAATGCCATTCGATGAAGCATTAAAAATTATGTATAATGTTAAAATGTCTTTTTGTTTCCAGCTTTAATTTACGAGTTATTAAGAAAACAGTTTCACTCATATTTTTTATAGGCTTTTCGAGGTCGTTTTTATACTCTGATAACTCCTAGTTGAGTTTTTAACAATATATTCGAAAAGAGCGACTAATTTTGCTTATCTCAAACCGATCTGGAAGGTTCCCAAATCTCACTGTTCAATACTAAATCGATATTAATTAAACTAGGTTGCGGACGACATCTTTCAATAAAACACGCTTTTCTCCATCAAAACTCGACTTTTTTCAAATTTCAACCCAATATTTGTAATCAGCATTTGTATTCTACATCGAATGATGTATCTTTTATCGAAATCCGAGAAAATAAATTTTCGATGTTCCTGAGGGGACCGAAAAATTTTCGAAAAAAGTCGATTTCATGATAAATTAAATAAGTCATTTTGTTCAGAATTCGACCATGATCCTAACCAAATAGTTTTTTCTTCAAAATATTTGGAGACAGGAACATGCCCTAACCGGCCTCGTCCTTTCATGTTTGAGCTTTGATGTTAAAAAATTTCAATTAATTAGATAATATTTATATATGACAAGTGTGCCTACGACGCTTATAGTCAAACAAAAATCTTATTTTGCGTGAAATAAATCCAGTTATAGTTGTTTGGCTTCTTTTAAAGATTTTTGAATGATTTTTTCAAGAATTTGTTCTTAATCAAAGAGTCTTAATAAAACGAGAAATTTCAATTTGTAGACGATATTTGATTCTATGTTTCAACATATTAAACTTACAAAAGAAAATTCTGAAGAAAAATATGATTGTCTGAAAGCAAGGCAATTACTATTTAATAAATATTTCAAAAAAAAAATTATTTATGCAAGGAAAGTGTTTTATTGACGATGAAAACAAAACAAGAAAATTAATTATGTGAAATATATCCTACAATAAAATACAAAAATCTGTTCATTTTCTCATGTATTTGAAACTGAATGATTATCTTGTTGTGTAGTAGAAAGGGGTCCGGAAGATGAAAGAGCTCGTTGTTGTGCAGATAAAAATGGATATTGTTGCTGTGGTTGTTGTGATGCATTTGATGGCGTATCTGAGCGAGATATAGAAAATAGTTTTTCTATATCCTTTTCATCATTAGTAAGTAATTGTGTTAATCTATTATTCAAAGTTCTTAAACGGCTTTTTAACGGTGATTGATAAGTATAAAACGGTAGTTTCCATTGTTCCGAACCAAATAGCTTAATTTTAATCTTTTTTTGTTCACCATCTTCATTAAATAACTGTTCACCATTTTGTAAATATTTTCGTAATATTTGCTGACGTTTTAATTTTTTTTCTAAATATTCTATCGATCCTTCAAATAAATCTAATCCATGCATGACAGTTGATTTATCTCGTAAAGTTTGAAATTGCTGATTTATTTTACGAACAGCTAACGGAGAAAAATAAACGAATAAAATAGAATGAGCTAGACAAAAAGTAAAAAATAAATAACGTTTTGTTCGCGTTTTAAATTGTAAACGTCCCGAATAGTAAAGATAAAATGGTGAACTAAATGCAATTGTTGTACATAACATCCATGGGATAAAACGTGTTATACTAGTTGACAATTGAATTTGATCACTAATAGCAAATTTTTTAGCTTCATCCGATAAACATAATGTCCCAATTAATTCTTCAAGATCAATGGTTTCTTGAGATCGTTGTAAATGTAAAACTGGTTGGAGAGTCGGAGTTTCTAGCCTTAAAATTTGAAAAAACAATTACCATTAGTAGAATTACAATTAAAAAACATATGTTGCTAGCTTTTTTTCTTGCATGATCACCCTAAACTTGAATTTTTTACTCCTAAGTGTTGAAATTCGGAACAATATTCAACCCTCAAAGATTTAGTATTGTATTTAAAAATTCTTTTATTAGGTTTTGTAGACGAAATGAGAAACTCTTTTTCTCCACAAAACTCTTATTCGTTCCTGACAGGAACACTTTTTAAATAAAATTTTCACTTTCTCAGAATAAAAATCTTCGGAGTTTTGTCAATTCCTCCGTACAAAACTGCAAAACATGTTCTCTTATGAGAAATGAAAATTTTATTTAAAAAGTGTTCCTGTCAGGAACGAATAAGAGTTTTGTGGAGAAAAAGAGTTTCTCATTTCGTCTACAAAATCCAATAAAAGATTTTTTAAATACGATACTAAGCGGCTTGTTCACGTAACCCCTATGGCAGAGATGTCACAGCATTACTTTTTTTGCTCATTTTGTTTCGACTATAACTCCGAAACTAAAAGTCGTAGAGAGTTCGTAGATGTTTTAAATCAAAGAAAAAACTGTTTTCTACATTTTGAGATCTGATCAGACTCGAGATAACCTATCATCATAAAACTATAATTAAAATGCTGAGACCTTTTTAAGAACTGAAACCAAAGGTGTAGATCTCAGCATTTTTGACTACAGTTTTTTTAAAATAGGTTTCCTAGAGTCTGATCAGATCTCAAAATGTAGAAAACACGTTTTTTCTATAATTTAAAACATCTACGAACTTTCTACGACTTTTAGTTTCGGAATTATAGTTGAAACAAAATGAGCAAAACAAGTAACGCTGTGACATCTCTACTATAGGAGTTACATGGACAAACCGTAAACCTTTGAGAGTTGAATAGACAAAGAAGCATTTCCTAAACAAAATGAGAAACGCTTTTATTTCTACTAAATCACTTTGGAGGATTTTGGAACGAAACTTCGTTTTTGGGAGCAGTTATTGAAACTATTGTATATTTTCGAGTTTGAATTGATGAGTCACTTCTATATATTCTCTATAATATGGCTATACCGACCGCTATAGTATATTACTAATAGGACAACACTGACAGTTCTCCAGGTAGAACGAAAAGAAAAGGAACAACAGATTTTTTTTTCTGCTTATTCCTCAGCTGTTTTACACGCCTTTTACAGGAAATATTGGGCTGAGACGCACAATTCATTTAATCTTTAGCCAAAAACTGTTAAGTCGGCAAAAAATGAAGTTTTTCGGCTTTTCTATAGAATTTTGGACAAAATTATGACTTTAAGGTAAAGCTGGAATTTTTCAATGGAACATTTGAATTTGATTAGTACTGCAAATATTTCCAGAACATATTATAGTAGGATGCACGATATCTTCATTATGTCCAACAACAATCTTCATTATGTCCAAATTGCTGACTAGCCTAATATTTAGTACCGTTTAAGTTCGTCGTTTGTTTCTGGCCTTTTAAATCCAAACCAGCCCGATAATCTGTTTGCCCAAGTCGTTTTTTTTATTTCATCTTCTTTCTTTTCTTTCGTATTTGGCGTTTGTACTACTGACTGTTCCTTGTTCGTTAGCAATGATGTTTGACGTTGAAATTGAAATTTAGTTTGATCAATCTGTGATAAATCAAATTTTGAAAAATCAAATGTATGTCCATAATAGTCAATTTTCAAATTTTTTAATTCGTTAAAATTTGTTAAATTTGACCATTGTGGTATCATTAAGTATCGATTACCATTGAATAATGGTGTAAAATGACCGTAAAGATGAAAATCTCCACCACTATGAATAAATGTACGAATATCAAAGTTTTTTGCTCGTTCCATTACTTTTGTTATTTTAAAACGCATTAAAATCTAAAAACAAAATAGAACATTTTAGTCTTCAAATATTATCTATCAATAGTCGTATACCAGAGAGATGCATGAGAGATGAGCAACTCGGGGAAGAAAAAAAATTTTCTTCGTGAGAGGGATCTGGAATGATCTAAAAAACTGATGAGACAGGGATCACACGAACTGTCAAGTTTAGAAAGGTTCATCCTGCTTTCTTACTTATTTTCTTCAAGACTAAAGGTGAGCCAATTTTTCTGATATTCGGTTGGAGAGAACGAACGATAATGTAGTGATGGATTTTTCGCTAGATTCCACGACTTTTACGTAGCGGTATTTTATTTGGCTACTGTATGATCATTACTCAGCGACAATCTAAACTGACAAACAGTAAACGATATTATCGTCGTTCTTTCTGTAGAAAAACAAATATGAAATTTTCGATTTATCTTTGTCTGTTATTAGTTAGACATAGTTAGTTAAGGTTCCGTAAAAAATAAATAACTTTGGCATGATTCCAGTCTCAACAGGATCGAGACCGTAACTGGGATCGTCTCATCCATGTCTAGTATTATTATAACCATTTTGAAATAAAACCTGATCTTTAGTAAGGAGAAAAATTAAAGAATATCTATATCGAAAGGAAAAAATACTCTTACACAAAGCAAGTTTGAAATGTGATGAATAGGAAAAACTTTTTCAACAGGGACAGGACAGGGGATGATTTTCAGAATGATGAGGCAGGATAGAGTCTGAAAAATTGATCTTTCATACATCTCTGTTGTACACAACGTGAAGTAATCGACGATTAGCAAAAGTATTCGGATTGAATACAAACCTATTATACATCTATATACCTCCACGATCATATTTCCATAATTTTGATTTGGTTTCATAAATTTTCCATCGGGTGTATGTACTCGATCATAAACATAGTCCACTGTTTGATCAGGTAGTCCAGTCATAATAAAATATGGTGACATTGGAATAGCTAGAATAAATGAATACAACAAACATAATTATATGTTTATTTCCTAAACTTCAATTTCAATAACTACAAGCCATTCCATCATATTCTCTCCATTTTACTACTGGGCGATTAGCAAATTCAAAGAAATAACTTCATTCCCTCCAATGGATTCTGGTACACTTATTAAACATCTCGTCATTTATGAAAGGTGTATTTAATCTAAGATCAACAAAACTGAGGTATACGGTGAGATAAGACGTAGATATATTAATTAATTTCATTTCCAGAATGCCAGATAATGATAATCTCAACATAATTCATTTATCACATAAAACAGTCATATTAATGATCGTATGTTCACCCTCGCGTACATCAGAAATTTACTTTCCAAAATGAGCACATATGAAAATGTATAATAATAAAATCGTATGTAATGTTGATGAGTTAACAAAAACAAGGATATTTCATCATTCATCAACGTAATCCACTTTTCATCAATATCCATTAAATAAAAAACTAGACGTGCTCGATACCATATCAAAATATGTTGAAAGAACAACTACTTGAAGAACAGAAGAAAATAGGGATAAACATAAATTACTTTTAACTATTCTTCATCCGCATAAATCAGCAACAACTATCACCATAGGAAAGAAAATTAAGAAACTAATGACTTTAGCAGGTAACGACATCGAAAAATTGAAGACTCATTCTTGTCGATCAACCGTTACATTGAAAGCTAAAAATCAAGGATTAAATTATTCAACAGATAATGTCAATAGCAAACTGGTCGATATTGAACAGAATTTTCAGTACGCGCTAAGTCTAAGCTGATGTGAGCTTTGAACATACGAAGCAATGGCTTATCGTTACTTCACTGACGTTTAATCATAAAATTTTAATTTCATTTCATATGTTATATATTCTAATAAAATTCTCAATTTTAAATATCGAAAAAGTGTATTCATATTTACCTGCTCCGACGAATGCTCGAAGCATAATTCGAATTTGTTTTGAATCTTGAGCTTTTGACGTCATGATGTAACTAGTTTAGATTATTAAATCTACAACTAAAAAATGCTCTTAAAAATAGAGATTTTGCATGGAAATACATGCAATTTTTAAATATTATGACACCAGTATATTTAAAAAATATCTGTCAACGACTTATTTTAAATATGAAACAAACACAAGTTTCATTTATGACACAAATTCGATAAACTACAAATTCTAAGAATTATAATAAAAAAAAGAAAAATTCACACATTCCTTTAAAAGAAACAAAAACAACAAAAAAAATTTTAAGAAAACATTCTAGTTTTTCAATAAAAAATCATTGAGAAAAGTGAACATTTAAGATAAAAAGACGTGGATACGTGGAAAAAGTCCACACAAATATTAGAAGAAAACAAAAACAAAATTTTTTTGTTATGAAAACTAATACTACATAAACCTGAGAATAATTTTACATTTAAAGTTTAATATCTGATCTTATTATTTAATTTGTTTCTTGTTTAATTTGTTCAGTAAAATGACGTTTACAAAATGCTAACTTTTTTGCTCGTTTTGTACACGTTGGTATTAAACATAATTCTCGCCAATGATCTTTACCATCAAATTGTTCACGAATACCTTTTTTATTAATTCGAATATCATAACGTTGATAATTATGTTTTGATTGTCGACGTTGTGGTTCTAAACATATATTTGGATCACCTTCACCTCTTTCTTGTTTTTGTTTTTCTTCGGTATAATGTCGTTTACACCATGATAATGTTTTTGCACGTTTTGAACAATTTTCTACTACACATAATTTTCTCCAATATTTTCGACCATCATATCGTTCATAGTACCCTTTTGGATTCCAACGAACATCATCGCGTTCATAAGATGTTGTTTGTAATGATGTAGACATTAACCAATTTTAAAGAATTTATCTATAAAGAAAAATTCTAATATCATTCTTTCCTATTTAAGATTAGAAAAATTCTGATGATCTTATTTTTCATTGTGTATTAATTATGACAGATCAAATTGTATTCATGTAAAATGATGAAAATAATAGAATTCTATCATTATCTTTATACTTTTTATTATATACAACATAGAGATCAAGACAACCTTTTACATCCATTTTCCTGTAAAAATCAATTATATTTATTGTTCAATAAGAAAGAGATAAGGAGAAATTTTATCTAATTCAATCGACGATGTGAACTAACCGAAATCGTCTCGGACACTGGACATAGCGAACAGTGATATGGTAATTTCGCTAAAAAAAGTAAAGTGAACATTTCCAATTACAATTAATGTAATTGACAGCTAAAACAGATAAAAAAATAGAAGAATTCTTTGAGAAAGTAAAGTTGAATTAATTGACAGAGTTTTTATACAAATATAAATATATATGTACAGTAGTATGAAAAAGTTTAACTTTTCAAGTTCATGAGAAAAAAAAATATTATTATTGATAAAAAAATTTCACAGCTAATTCACTCCTGTACTATACTATGAGTTTTCTAAATAAAATATTGTTTTTTAAATAATATTTGGTTTTTTTTTTCATCTGAAAAGATTTTTAATAAAAAAAAAAGAAATAATATACTGAATCAACTCACGAAACTGAATTAAATATACGTATAAAACTTTACTTAAAACTTCTCATCTGCGGTTTCCACTCCTTCATTTTTAACTAATAACTTTTTCCCTGTCGTTACTCTTTTATTTGAAAAAGTATTTTAAAAGTATGCAGTGTAAAATTTAGCTAGGAATAGTCGTTATTGAATGGAAAAAATCAATTGTTTGATATGTCAAAATGATTCTCTAATATGAAGTCATTTCATCAAAATAATAAATCGAATATAGTTTTAATTTAAAAACTAGCCTAAAACTGTTTAATAGATATTTTAAGATATAAACAGTTTTTTGAGACGATTGCTGATTAAATTTTAGAAAAACTATCGTTATTATTCCTTTTTTTCTAATAGCTTTCTGCAAGCAGTTTTGATGGACTACAAACTGCACAGAAGACACACCAGAACACATTTCAATACTTAATTAGAATCTTTATCTAAAATTATTTTTTCTTTCTCTCAAAATTTTAGTGGTCAGATTAACTTAAGTATCCGTTTTGAACTTTTGAAAAGAGAATTTGTGTTTTTTATTTTTTATTTTTACATATGTTTGCTACATTGAAGTTTACAGACGTTTATCATAAAAATCAAACTGAAAATTTGCAATTGTTTTTTCTCATTAACAGAGGCTTTTTTCTCTTTAGCATTGAACATTCTGCTAGAGAGAGAAAAAGAAGACTTAGTTAATCAAATCCTTTATCGTCGTAGCATGCCCATTATAGATCATATGTCTGAAAGAAAAGTTCACTTTGAAAATTAGTTAATGAAAAAGGTAGTTCTGTTACAACTCACAGAGAGTTGTATCAGTAAGTATTTCCTTCCACACTATCTGTCTTTTTTAAGAAAATTAACGGAATTAAAACGTAAAAAAGTGTTTAAAATGATTTTTCTGGTAGAACAATATGACGACTAAAGTTGAGAATATATAAAAAGTGGTACGATATGTCTCAGTGTAGGAATCAGAAGAAGAGAATTAAAAGCGAAAAGCGTATTTCTCTGAGTTGATTGATGATTTGGAAATTAGATGAAACATCAGTAATCGACTACGCTTGAACCTTCTGGCAGTGTTTGTTTTTTTAAAAAAAGTTCAAAAACCTGAGGAAAACTGACGTTATATGAAACAGCCCATTTTTGGGAGAATTTTTACCTTATACGAAAAAATTCACGTATCTGTCAAAAATTGATCACAACTACTTTCGAACCTTCAGAAAGTATTTAATTTATTTGTTTTGCTGCATCTAATTTCCAAATTTCCAACAATCACTAGATTCATTAAAACATGTCTTTCAACTCAGAAAAATACGCTTTTCACTTTTAATTATCTTCTTCTGATCTCTACACTGAGACTTATCGTACCACTTTCTATATATTCTCAACTTCAGTCGTCATATTGTTCTACCAGAAAAATCATTTTAAACACTTTTTTACGTTTTAACTCCATTAATTTTCTTAAAAAAGACAGAAAGTGTGGAAGGAAATGCTTACTGATGCAACTCTGTGAATTGTAATAGCCATTCCGAAATATTTTTATTGAGTCGTGCTCAGCATAGTAGACTGGCACTTTTTTAAAATAACTTTTGAAAAAAAAAAATAGAACTTTTACTTTAGTGGGATCAACACACAACTTATTTTGTGTAACTAAGCCAAATCTTGCAATACTAATAACAATATTCTACGAACATCTGATCAAACGAAATTTAACTCTAATTAAAAATGAAAAATTAGCTTACTCGTCCTCATCCTCTTTGTCGAACGTTTTTCACTTCAAAAAAAAAAGGCAAAACAACAGTTCAAGAATTAAGATTGTTTTTGTTTCTTTCCACTATTAGGATTATATCCAACTCGTAAAGTTGTATTACTGTCATTTGACAATGTTGTCGGTTTTCTTTTTCGATTTGTTTCATCTGTTGTAGTAGTAGTGGTAGTAATCGATGATGTCGGTAATCTATTTCGATGCTGTGGAAACGATGGCATATATTCAGGTTCACATGGTAGTGGAGCTTCTTTGAAATAAGAATTGCTTAAACAATCGGCAGCAGTTGCACTAAAAATAACATAAACAAAAAAATTAATTTCGGGCATCGTAGTTAATTCATCCATCTAACTTACCGTTTATTTGGGTCATACATAAACATAAAATTCATTAATATTATACCAGCCTTCGATAACCACGGAAATGTTTGTGTAAAATTATTATAAGGTTGCTGACGTAACTGAAAATTTTTTAACAATGGTAATTCATTTAAATCCTAAAACGGAAAGGAAAATTGAAATATATTTAAGGTAAAAATAACTTACAAAAAAAGATAATGACTATTTTTACTAACCGACTGACTTTACTGAACAAATTTGATTGGTGTAACCATTGGATAGACCAATCAAATTTGGCCAGTAAAATCAGTCGGTTAGTAAAAATAGTCATCACCCAAAAAAATAGACAATAACAGATGCTATGACTCTTACTTCCCAAATTTTCTCCGTTGGTGTTCCAAACATGTCAATAATTAAATTAATTTGATGTATTTCTGATCGTCCTGGTAATAGTGGCCGATGTGAAAGTAATTCACCAATAACACAACCAGCAGACCATATATCAATAGCTGTTGTTTGAAATTTTGAACCTCAGAAGCACACACACATACGGATCTCGATATAGCATTTTCGTTTTTTGTCAGTCGCTAAAATATCACATACCGAACAATAATTCCGGCGCCCGATACCACAAAGTAACAACCATCGGTGTCATTGAACCATTAGGAAGTGTAAATTGTCTTGCTAAGCCAAAATCGCCAATTTTTAAACAACCCGTATCGGTCATTAATAAATTTGATACTTTAATGTCACGGTGAATAATGAAACGCATATGAATATAATTGAGACCACGCAGTAATTGTAAAGCGATGCATTTTACCTAAAAGAATGATAGAAACAAGTGAATATCTTTTATATCGTATCTAGAAAGAGTCACTCCAATTTCAGCTTATTAGTTACTGTTAGAGTCCTGCAGGTTAAACCTAACTTAACCTAACCTATAGGTTAGGTTAGATTTAGATTATGAAATTTTTTATAGGTTAGGTTGTAGGTTACACCATTGATAACCTATTTTTAACCTAAAGGGAAAAAACGACTTTGAACGATCACTTTAAAACAGCCAACACTTTGAGTAATAAAGCGTAGTCCAAGTGGAATTTTATCGATTGAGGATAAATCAGACCGAGGTTCTCTAGTTTAAACTGAACTATTTTTAAACTGAAAATAGCACAATCAAAAAAAGAAGTCAGAGAAAAAACTCACGTTTGCTAAAGATAGATGACGAATACGAATACACAACAATAACAGAACCTTCATAGTATCGAGAGCCTAAAGTGGAATTCTGGTCTACTCTTAAGAGGGTCTCCCTGTTCAGAAAGCTATTTTCCAAAGATTACATTAAAGAATAAAAGACTCAACCGATTCATTTCTATATTCCTGTAAAATGTCATTTATTTTGTATAAGCTTCCCTTTCAGACGGTGTTTAGATGAAAAGTAATAACGATATGGAACAAAGCTGAGATTTGGGCTTCTGTAACCAGATTTTGGGAAAAAATTGTAAAAGGTTGTATTAGGTTAACCTAGGTTAGGTTACGGAAAACATTAATAGGTTAGGCTATAGGTTGTCAAAAGTCGTAACCGCAGGACTCTAGTTACAGTCAACCTTATCTAAGTTTTATCCCATCCTTTACTTATTAGTGAGATCGCTGAATTCTTTCGAGCACTCTAAGAACTCCAATTTTGTCTGACACATTGTCTATTCTGAGAATCGAATTTCGTTACAAAAAACCTTTTTACATAAATATTCAGTAGGCTCTTGACTCACTTTTCTACTTTCATTAGTTAATGCACGGTTGAAATAAGCAACTGACGAGGAATGATCCCCAACTGATAAATCGCTTTAGACATGAAAGGTGGTGGACCACAGGTAATCGATGGTCCTGAATCCGAATCTCACCTTGGTTTGTGCCGCTAGGCCTTGCAAGTATTGGTTTTC